CATCATCATCATCATAATTCACTTTATCATTCCTTGAATCGGAATTAGATATGTTTAATTGTGTTGAAATTCTGACTTTTCTTGGTGTTTTCGTTATTGCATTGATATTATCGAAATCTCTCACAGCACTAGCAGCAATTTTAGGTGGTCTAGCTTCAGAAGGCTGTTGTTGCTGATGATGTAAATTTTGATTTTGATTATCGTAAATTGTTGATGTTGGTAAGTGAGAAGAAAAATTAAACGATTGTTTTTGATGTTGTTGATATTGTTGTTGTTGCGGATTGTATACATAAGGACCTGGATCACTATGATTTGTTAATTCAGTACGGTTGTCATATTGGCGATACGTAACTTCAGATGAAGTTCTAGGAGAGCCATTTAATGGTGACTTGGCAACCAGTCTAGAATTGAATTGATTATTATTATTATTGTTGTTGTTGTTATTATTACCGTTATTATTATTGTTGTATTGTTGATACTGGTGTTGAGAAGAAAGGGGAGGAGATGAAAGAGGTGGAGGAAATAGTTGATTTTGATATTGATGTTGATGTTGTGATGTTTGGTAATGTTGTTGTTGTAACGGTGGTGGTGGCGGAAATTCAATGACAGATCTTGCTTTAACTTTTGGTTTTGGTGAAGTGTTTTGATCTTTATTAACATGAGCCATTTCAGAGCGAATTTTTGATTGAGCAAAGGCGCTACTTGTAGTGTCCATAATTGAATTTTTAGGCCTTGGTTCAAGGAAAGGAAAATCTTTAGTATTTTGTTTTGATGGGTTTTCAACACTCATATTTTTCCGTTTAGTTACACGGTGTTAGACCTGCATTTAGTCGTTTTCTCAAAATGGAATCTCGCAACAAAAGGACCCCGGATAATCGTATAGGGCACTCGATAAGAGAAAGCGACAGTTTTTACCCCCAAAAATATGTATACTATTCATAAAATCCGTGCTCATCTTCACTTGTTAAATAATATTATTTCGAAGATTAATATATACTTTACAGGAAACATTTGAATATCAATATCAGTTATTGGTTCATTTGCACAAGAATGATAATTTCCTGTAGTCGAGTAATAATATAATGCTAGAAATTGAACAAGGTGAATTTTAGAATTAATTTAATGCAAAAAATTAATTGCTGGATATATTTACAATGGTGATGACTATGGTCGCTCGCTAAAACTCCTCCAGAAATCAATCAGCAGAGTTTCGGCAGGTTATACGCTAATTGTTTAGGCAGAGTTTCGCATTTGGGGTTTTGACAATTGGCAGAGTTTCGTCGGGTTTAAAGATACTTGCCGTAAATGATTGGGCTGGTAGCTAACCTTGGAAGAAATTATTCAAAATGGCAGATGATCTTGATTATGAAGGTATTGCTACCAATTTAAAAGTCATTACCAATTTTCCAAAAATGGTGAAAATTCATAAATAAATAAAAAAACAACCAAGATATACAGTGTATAACAAAAATAATTGGAAAATTATTCCTGTTGTTTAAATGCATGCTTTGTGCTCAAATTAAGCCCAATTTGCATCATATTGCTCTATATAAGAAATTACATGTTAAATAATTTATCTAATCCCTGAAATTATTTCTTGGTGGTTTTATTGCTGTATGCCTCATATACAATTAATTATTATTTATTAATAAAGTCTTTATAAAAAAATCTAATAAAACTATACATGTACATAAAAAGGTTGGTGCTTTGGCTGTGCTCCATGAACACGAAATCTATATAAACAAGTATAATCATAATTATTCCAATTACTCTTTATTTTCATCACTATAGCTCTTATTGGTACACCTAAATTATTCACTTCAAAAGTTTGTATAGAAGGTCCATCAATCTTATAAACAAAATTCCCCAAAAATAAATGATTTGGTGATGAGCCAAGTTTTAAATCTCTTCCACCTACACTTATATAACCTGAATTATTATTATTATCTGAATCATTCAGATCATTCAAACTATTTTTTGGTTCATATTTATCATCATGATTATTATGATTATTTAATACAATTTCACCACTTTCTTGATTGTATTGATCATTTTTTTTAAACAGTAACTCATCATTTTGCCCTTGTTCCTGCTTTTCCTTTTCCTTTCCATAATCATCATCGCCTTGTTCATTGCCAACTTTTCCCTGTTGATTATTATTATTATCATCAATATCATAAACAAAACCCCAAACCTCAAATTCTTTTGGCGCACTGGTAACATCCATAGCTAACTTTTTAGTCACATGTTCATATGTTACTGCTGTAACAAATATTTTTCTACTCAATAATATAGCTAATTGACCTTTTTCTCCAGAAAAAGGCCAACACTGACCAACATGCATTTCAGGTTGAATAGCTGTTGTTGGTGGTCTACCTCGTGTGATTCCATGACCAGTTACTGATGCAATAATTTGTTGAGACCACTTTGTAGGCCAAGTTTCATATGTTGGAGATGTCAACACACTTATGATCTTGGCACCACCTGATAAAAGAGCATAATCAGCTCTATTCAATTTATCCTGTGAATAGTCATGCAATTTCTCTTCTACTGTTTTATGAATTTCATTCCTAATTAGATTAGCAATCACATCATTAACAATATATCTTTGATAAGTTGTAACCTCATGATTGGCTTGTTGTGGCAGTGATGGTTTAATTCGTTTTTCCACTTCAGCAGCACATATATTTTTCACTTGTTCTTCAACTGCAGCTCTAACCAATGAATCACTATACTCGAAACCAACTTCATGGTTATGATGGTGATGACCATCATCATTAATGACAATGAAATTTCTATACTGTGAATCAAGATCAGTGGTTTTGATTATCCAAAATGCACATTGATTATTTGAGAATGAAAATTGACAAATATAGCAATAACTTAAAAACAATATAAATGCTGGGAATATCCACCATTTGGAATTGTTTAAATAGAATGCAAATGTTCTTATAAGAATTCTCTTGTTTAGAATCACTTTACTATAATTTAAAAGAATTGCTAGAATATTTTGAAAGCTATTTTCTTTGATCCGATTCCTCCAACCATCAGAAGCATCATTGCTTCCATTACTTTCATCATTAACAATATCACCATTTAAGCCATTTGACTGAGTATCATTTAAACTTTTAGTATCCAGAACTTTATCTAAAATTTTATCGTCCTGCTTATTGATTATTTCATCATAATCATCACCATCATCATTATTGCCATCATCTTTTTTATTATTTAATAATGGTAATAATGGTGTTGCAAAAAAATCTTTCAAACTTTTTTGGGAAAGTTGGCCTAAAAAAGAAGTCATTTTTGAATCCGTCATTGTTGTTTCCTCTTCTTCCTCTCCTCCTCCTCTATCTTTTCCATCTTTTTCTTGAACAGGAAACATTCTATTAGAAGAAGATCCCGCATTATCGTCTTCACAAATAAAAAAATATGAACCAACTACTGTTGATTGTAATGATGATGGATACGTCGAATTTAGAGAAGAATTACAGAAACTACTACTTCCTGATTCGTCATAACTTATATTATCTTTATTTAATTGGTCGGAATTAAAATTATCAATAGAACTATTATTATTATTAATATTATTATTATTATTATTATTATTGTAATTATTATTATTGTTGTTGTTGTTATTATTATTATTATTATTATTATTATTATTATTATTATCAGGTTTTTTAATCATATCATTATGATCTGTTTGAAAATTGTTATTATTTTCGGTTGCAGTTCTTTGTTGTAGTTGTAGCTGTCTCCTCGTTATATATGCTGGTTTGAATGCTTTATTTTCTTCAACATCATTATTATTTTTTAGAAAAATATTTTTGGTAAAAGGTTCGCCGTAATTATTTTGTCTTGATTTTCGTGTCATTGTGCTATTAATTGATAAATAAATCAATCAAATAATTTGAAAAAAGAAAAAATTTTTTTTAAAGATTTTATATTTTTTTTTTATATATATTATTGTTTATTATTTATATGCAAATTAAGGATTAGATTGTTTTTTTTAAAAGGAGTTATAGAACGTGATCAAGAATTATCAAACATATTCACATGATGTTATTTTGACATATTAATTAATATAGTTAAATCTTTGTCACAGAGGATGAACAGGAAAATTTTATTCAATTATAATACTATACTAATCTCGCCACAACGGATTTTTGCGAAGTAGAAGCAAAAAATTTAAAATCCGTTGTGACAAGAATTTAATTATAGTTCGCTGACCTATATCCAGCAAAAACAACCTCTGAGGTAAATAACAAAATCAAAAAATTTAAGCCCCAAAAATTTTGGTCCTATTTATTTATCCAAATTTAGAAAACAAGAGAATTTTACAGCTGGGATACGTATGAATTTTATTGCGTGTAATAAAATGGGTGAATTTATTATATTTTTAGACTTTAATTAAAGAAAGTATCCGGGCACGATTCCCCATTTTTTATTAAGCAAATATTTTCACCAGTTAGTTATAATCTGCATGTTATAGGATAATATTATGTAAAAACACAAATTTGGTCAAAAGACTCCGGATACTGTTTTTGCTGGAGACAGTCCCATATCTACTTTGTGCAAAATTTCGTACTTCATAATCATAGGTTCAGAAAATTTTTCAAGTAAATATACTAATACCAGGACCGAGAAACTTTATTGAATGTCACTGCCAACGCTATGTTTTGATAGTACTTTAAAATTTAAAAGCGTCGCCGCTCACCTTATATTCGCATTAACAGGAAAGAAGAAAAGGTCACCGGGCATTTACCCGATATTTTTGATCACACATTCCGCACCCTGCTTGGAGTACTACAGATAACATGGCTTTTTACATGATTTCGTCCAATAAAATATACATAGAATGAAATAGAATGATTATGTCTACTAGACGCGTCATTAATTACGTTCTCGTGATATAAAAGGAAATGATTGATGATAATCGGGACCTCAAGTCAGTTCCCAATTTACTACGGTTGGCAAATTGACTGGTTCATTGAGAACTGTTTGACTTTGGACTGGTCCATTACCATTAATAAATATTAAATATGGTTAAAGAGTTACACTAACGGACCCAATGGATCACCAATGGACCACACATAAGGCTCCGAATGAATCAAGTTTTAGGGTGATTCGATTCGAATTCAAAAAACTGAATTCGATTCAATTCAATTTGATTCAAGTCAAACCGAATTCCTGAATTTTTTTTAATGTCATATTAAATTTGTATTAACACAGTGAATCTCAATTTAGTGTACCTCGATTTGATGGATCGAGATCTAAGAATGGTTTAATAATAATAATAATAAAATACAATATAACGGATTTCTTGATATTAATACTAATACGAATACTATCACTAATCACTAATACTGATATAATAATAACGGATTTTTGGAAAAAATTTCTAATTACCCAAACTATCTGCTAAATCAAATCTTTTTTATACTAACAAACATAAAATAAACATCTAGATCAATCTACTTTTACTTTAAAAACCTAAATGATTTCGCTCAATTTCAGCTATTATTAACATTAAATTAGTTTCGTCCAAGTTTAGGCCAATTAATTTCGGCAATCTCGGTCATTAAGTAAGGTAGTTTCGGCCACCATCACTAAATAATAGTAAATATAACCAATGAATGATATAGATCAAATGAAACGAATCAAAAATTAGGCGATTCGATTTTCATTGATTCGTTCGGAGCTTTAAGTTAATATATAATTATTAATAAAAGTTTATATGCAATAAAAATACATTTCCCTTGATTTAACAAGTGCCTCGAATAAAAAACTGAAAGAAAAAGAATAACCATGCAAATATGAGTCGCAATTTGCAATCAGGCCTTGTTATGCGGTTCCTTGTCAACATGTAGGGGTCACAAGATGACTGTTGACAAAAACGACAGTTACTGAGAGGTAAATATTTGTAAGTAGAGTTCTAACACCGCCTCAATTATAGCACCATTGCTTAAGCAGCAGCTAAACCAACAATGGTCATCAAATTATGGATGGAATTAAAGAGAATTTTGATTGATCAGATTATCACCAAATGGTTTCAGTTGTTAGCTAATTGATTTATTATTATTAAGAGTAAATTAATCGGTGCATGTTCAAAAACGACCCACCACAACTTATTTTATCAGGGAAATAGTTTGAATTTAAATCACGATTAATAAATATTTTGTTGTGAAACAAAGAATATGAAAACAGTTGTAAGAGATTAGTGACAATGAAAGCATATTTTTTGATACATTAACTAAAGAGTACTGGTTGTCTCTATTCTTTTGCCAGGACCAAAAGCTGGACACGATGTTGTGAATAATGCGAATTTCCTGAAAATAAGTAATTATAATTAGGAAAACCACGTATACTTATATTGACATGGTTAGGTAAAATTATGTAACCACTTACCTAAAGCTGAAAATCCACAATCTGTCATTTAGATACCTCGCCTAAAGAGGTGCAAGAAATACTTCAACAGAAATTACAATGGAATTTTTCAAATACTCATTGTTTTTCTTGTAGCTGTCAAATCAGGAGGAGAATGAACATTGGAGAACAGAGATGATGACAATGATGATATTGAGTTATTGATAAAAATAGCTGGGTGGCAATTATTGACATATATAATCTAATTGTATTGGCAGATTTGGAACTAGAAGCTAATGTTTAAAAAAATACATATAAAAGAAAAGTTTGATTTAGAATATAATACTGCTTTTTTATATTTTTGACCCGCAATATCCCATTCTGGTTTTTTAAACCAATTTTTCTCTGTTCTAATTTTAATTTTTGCAAATCTCTTCATGAGAACTTACCTTTGGATAAAAATCAATTGCCTCGCAAATTTTATTATCTTCTATTTGTAATAAAAAAATTAATTGAATCACGAATTTTACTATCTTCTATTTGTAATAAAATTTTTATTGTGTTATTTCGTATTTAACATTTGATTTTGAGATTATTTTGATTTTTGACATCAGGAAAATTATGTATTATATTAATTATTCAATTATAAAATGTGTGATTCTGAATTGGAGAGAAATTAATCAAATTTTTTAAAATAAATAAATTAAATTAATAATTAATTAATAAATGGTGATTATCTACCCATCAACAATTTACCTAATTCTCCAACTTTAATTTAACCCTTATCAACTACTTATTATTATATTACCATTATCATTATAATTAATTTATAAATAATCATATTAAATTCAAGATTATATTTCATTAATATCAAGGTCACTTAATAAACTATCATTGCTTTTTAAGTTCAATTTGGAAAATTCATCATTTAATATTCGACTTGTATGATATGCTAATGGATGTGATTTGTGAATTTGTTGCAAGTTACTATTATTACCACCACCATCACTATCACTGCTAGTTTCATTAAAATTTTTTGTTTCATAAATTTCCTTTGATTTATTACGAGCAAATTCCCAAAGCTCACTAATAGTTGGTCTCTTGGCTGGATCCACATCCCAACACCTTTGCATCATCCATGCATAATCATCAGGCATTTGTGATAATATTGGTGGACGTAAACCTTCACATATTCTTAATTGCAAATGAAAATCATGCGCCTCATCATCAAATGGTGGATGACCTGCAAATATTTCCCACATTAACATCCCAATGCTATAGATATCAGTTTCTTTTGTATTCTTTGCATTCTTTTTGCCTCCAAGTAGCTCAGGTGCAATATATGATATAATTCCATAGACTTTATTTGATGACTTTTCATCAACTGGTCCACATAATCCTAAATCTGTAATATAACAATTACCTCCTTCTATAAGTATATTACCACTATGTAAATCACAATGGATTAAATCTTTTTCATGTATATAATATAATGAATTGCATAAAAGCCTAAAGATTTTAACTCTGTCTTTTAATCTTAAATTTGAATGATTTTTTTGTAAATAATCTCTTAAATTTCCCTCTATATGATAATTAAGAACTATTGCATAATTTCCATTTTCTGGGAATTTAGTCACACCATAACATTGAACAATTCCATGAGATTGAATTTTACAATAATTCAACGCCTGAAATTATATAAATAAATCAATTAATTTAAAATAAATGGTATAAGTTTGTTTTAAATAAAAACAATTACCTCATCAAAAAAAGGTTTTCCTGGATTATTTGAATTATTTAATGATTTTAATACTACATAATGAGCTCCAAGATAACTAAACTCCTTTTTACTTTCATCATAATCAATTATACTTCCTCTTGCCCGTATAGCCATATAAATAGAACTGAATCCACCTTCTGTTAACTTTTTTACATCATAAAATTGCTCATAAGGTATCCATTCTATAATTCTACCCGGAATAAATGAACTTTGGTAAAAATAGATTTTTAAAATAAGATCTGCATTTCAAGGAATTTTATTATTGGTTTTGAAATTTCAAGAAAGGTATCTCAAAATTTTATTATGCAAAATGGGTATGCTTTCTAATCCAAACATATCCTAAATAAAAAGTTGTATATAGTGGTAGCATTTTTGCATTATGACCCTTTTCTATTTAAAAACCCCTCATATGTAAATAATATATATTAATATTAATGCGTGATATCTCATATTCGGAGGTCACCATGAAAACTAGGGTTCATTATTATTAGACTATATGCAAAATCAAATTAATACAAAAAAAAAAAGCAAACGATGTCGTTGTCACCATTAAGACGAAGAAAGTATAGCAGAAAGGGGAAATCAAAATTCATACTTGGCAAAAAGAGGAATTATTAAAGGAACAAAAAATTCATATAAACCTCCTTACCTTCAAAAGAGCAGTAGAATAAAATAATTTGCAGATCCATAATTCAAAATTTTTTTTTTGGAAATCCCGGACAATCACTTAAAAAAACTTTATTGTTTGCTTAAATTAGACGAGTCAGAATCAAAACATTTTCCAGATCGGGAAAGAACGTAGCTACTATTACTATATAGCAATAGTGATTGAAAATCCCTCCAAAGTTGGTGATTTTTCATAATTATTATCCGAGTTGCGGCAGTAACCCATCTATAATAATTTTCGGGGCTTTATCCGCGCACATTTTGCGAGGATAGTAGTCAATTTTAAAAGTTATCAGAGCAGAGAATATTATGTTTAAGGGTATACTGTTTATAACGCCGACTAACTTGTACTTTTTTCTCTTCAATTCAATTCTTTTTTTTTTTAAACCGCACTTTCTTCTATCATATATTAGTTGTTATTCATTTGGAATTCTTGTTTTCATTATCTAGTTGATGAGGGTAAGTACCATTATTAGCTTCACACAATTAACACATTCTTTATCCTTCCTATTCCTATCGCTCATTCACTTTCCTTTGTCCGTTATATTGTTTTTTTTTTCATGCATACGTATTACTTACTATCTTTATTATTAATAATTGCAAATGATTTAAAGGACTATTATGAGGATAACAGTCGTGGCATAATCCTACAAATTTTGGTATGAAAATAATGATCCTAGAGTTGTGTTTAAATACACGTTCAACTTATAATGGAAAACCTTTTTTTTTGGCTACAACAAAAAAAACCAAATAAGGATATTAATATATGTGTTATATGTGTTAAAAGATATTCAAGGAGGCGAATGGTCCGTGCTCCTAAAACACATACATGTGTTCCTAACTAAAATGCGTAAATCTAACATTTGTAAACATTCGTAATCATTTCAAAATTACGTGTATTTCGGCTACACGAGAGGTTTTTTAATAAAAGATGGTACGTGTTCTTTATAATAAATATAATTTAGCGTTGTAATATAAAAATGGAATTTGCAATGTAAAGTCATTTCCTAATTAATAATAAACAAATGATGTATTTATTGCAATTATATATCTTTAGATGAACACGTTTACAAAAAAATTTCTCTTTTGCCACTTAAACATTTGAATATCAGCAGTTACATATTGGAAACTCGTAAAAAAAGAATAACGAAAGATTCTCTAAAAATTGGCTACCAAGAAAAAGTCAAAAGCTAAATACAAATATTTTCTTATTTAATTATAGCTGTTTTTTTTTCATAACCAAACATAATTAATTTCGTTATTAAAAGGCCCATATCCATATTCACCTACAAGGATTATTAATATTGAATTGTTGCGTTGAATACATTTTGATCATGAAACTAAAGAGCCAATAAATTATCGTCCAATTTATAAGTTATTAGCCTTTAAATGCAATAATACTTGCATTTGTTTTTTTACAACTTCTTGTTCTATGTGATTTTTATATTCCGACTCGAATAACCATCACCCTACTTTTGTTTTAGATCTTTGCATTTGTGTGAATTGAGCTCATTTAAAGAAAATATATAAGCATCATTTGCATTCATAACTTTTTACCATAAGTGACAAAAGGCCATATGTTTTTACAGAATCAGCAGATCTATGTAAAACATGAAAGTGTTTTTGTGCTATTGCGCTACACGTCTTGGAAAAAAGATATATATTACTTTATAAAGTAAACAATTAAATATTGACAATAGACCCGTACAATCTTTTTCTTAAACCGTCAAGTCTTCCTTTGTATTAGACTCCTTCATTAAAGGGACTACGAATTAATAATAATATTCCTTATTGGCGAATTATTACATCACTTAATATTACTGTTCCTTATTGTCATTTCCCAAATATATTAAAGATAATAGATATACAATAGTTATTATCATTATACTAATAATAATAAATCAATTAACTAACAATCAAAACCATTTGGTGATAATTTGATCAATCAAAATTCTCTTTTAATTCCATCCATAATTTGATGACCATTGCTGGTTAGCTGCTCTTTTAGTTGCTCCCAGTATACCTTAAGCAACGGTGCTATAATCGAGGCGGTGTTAGAACTCTACTTACAAATACTTGTCTCTCAGCATGTTAAATGAACATTTCTGTTGTCATATTCTGTTTTTGTCAACAGTCATCTTGCGACACTCTACATACTGTGACAAGGAACCGCAGAGTGAGACCTGATTACAAATTGCAACTCATATTTAGTTTTTGGTCAACTCTTCCATTCTGATTTTCTGCTCAAAGAAACAACCATTCAAATATGAATTTCAAATATTCGTTGTGACATCAAAAATATGGAATTCATCTCTATTTCCTGATAATTGGCAAGACATTAATGGAACATGGTATAAACAGTCCTGGCAGACTTAGAAGAATTTTACATAAATAAATTTTCAACTGTTTTCAGAAAATTAAAAATATAAGTGATGAAATATTTGACAAAGAATAACAATTGAGGTAAGTCTACCTAGGGCTTTGAATTTGGTTATTATTATTTTTTTAAATCAAGGGATAAAGTTTTGACTGAATTCAAATCAAACATTTTAAATGAAACAAGGAAAAACGGCGTCAAAGAGTCTGTAAAAGATCTTGCTGGTTATGAAATTTGCATTTGAATTACTTTTTGTTTTTACGCCAGTCTAGCACACTCATTTATACTATATTCAATGTTTTTACTGTATGTGAGATACTGCATACAAGAGAACCATTAAGCATTTATAATGTTAATACACAGACAGACTCGATAAGTCAGCCCGCAGTAATCAATTGTTTAAAGTACTCAATAGTATAAATTATGCGGCTGA